TTTAATTATCAACAAAAAAATATGCAAAAATTAATTAGAGATGAAGAATAAAAAAAATTAAGATGCTAAAAGGGATATAAAAGTTTCCTTTGCAAACACATATACGTAAATACATACGAAATATGAAGCAGAGCAACGAACAATTAAAACCGTGAAAGAAATTATTTTAAATATATGAAACGGGTTGTTTCAAATAGCTAAAAAGCAACTTACTGCTGCTAATGAGGGAATAAAGCAAAAAAGCGCAGTAAGTATGCAAGAAAATATGCTATATTTAGTGGGTTCAGAGTCGAAAAACGCAACGTATGTATAGTGTGGTATCTAAGAAAAGTAGAGTACAATTAGCAAAAAAATATATATTTGATTTTCTTTTTGCAAATGAAGAAATTATTTAAATGCTGGTGCCTAAAATAACCGTTAAATGCCAAGATTTTTATTTTTATCATTTTCATTTCAAAATCTTTATTTTTTAAATCATTTTTGCCAATCAAGGAACACAGGTTTACAGAAAAAGTTTCTGCATATTGAACTCTATGTTATTTGATGCGCTCGATGCGAATCCGACGTCTGTTAACCTCCATCATCTCGGGTTCGATGTCATTTGAAGGTCAAAAAGCGAAAGATTCATTGAACACGGTGATCCCTTGATTCTTCAGGTTCATCTCAGGGTCAAATTTAGAAGAATTGTATAGAATTTTGAGGCTTATCCAATGAATTTTTCCCTATATGGCTAACAGACCTTGGATTCGCATTCAGCGCGTCGAATAACATAGGTATATAAAGGTTTAGTTTAATATGCATAAACTTGATGACTGAAACGAAAAAAATAAAAGTATTTTATGGTTAGGTTAAATTTTATCGGAAAAATATACATACATATATCCAATTTTAAAAATTTGTCATTTTTACTATCAAGATTATAACCGTAACGGGCTCTGTTCAAATGTGTGCGTGTTGAAAAAGTGCTGTTTGTTTTAGATATTTTTTCTTAAATTTTCGATATTCTCTTTTTTTCATATTTTTAATCAATCTTGCAATATTTTTTATGGATTTTTTTATGGATTAATTAGAGTATTTTCATCGTTTTCTATGAAAGTTCACTTTATTTTTGTGCGAATTAAAAAAACTGCTTTTTAAAATCTTTTTATCATTTTTCCTAAAAAATTCTTGAGTTTTGAAGTTTTTTCGTTGGGGATCCTCGTTGTTTTCTTGAAAAAATTAAACCGTTTTTTTTCCTTTTTTAATGGCCGTAAAAAAATTTACTTCTGAAAATGTTTACATTAACAGTTCTAAACCTCATAAACGAAGGCTTCTGGATCAAAATCTTGCATAAGTAGAATTTTCAAGTCAAGCAATTTTTCGTCGATACATTTTTGAGCAAAAGCTATCCGAAAATGCTCGAAGAGTGAACAAATTAATGATTTTTGCTATTCCATACATACATACTATATACATTAGGGGGGTTCAAAAATACGCAAGAGAATCATATTTTTAGAATTTTCCCGCTAGCACCTCCAGAACTGAAGAATATCCAAAATAAGACTACCCATATTTTTTTTTTTTAAATCGGTTAATATTTAACCGTGCCACCGGCGTTTTGAAGTCTGCCATACATTAGCGCACACAAGGGATGGGTTTTGGGGTTCAAACCCCCCCTAAAACTAATAACCTCAAATACGAACTGTATCTTAAAGCTAAGAATCCAGCTCTCAAGAAAAATCACAAGAAAAATTTTGTATTATAATTCTGTTGAAAAAGAACTTCCCTTTCGCTGTAAATTTTCTTGAAGAAATAAATATACGAGCATTTTTCTCGAGAGATGCAAACTGATTTAAGAAATTTTGGTAAAGGACTTAAGAAATTTCTTGTGCGTAATTTTATGTACATATATGAATTTTTCGCTTTTCTTGAGAGCTATTAAAAGTTTAAAAAGCACTATCTCCATCGAAAACCAGCAGCAAGATTCCCAGCATTTTCTACAGCTGATTTTGATCGCCAAAAATCTCCAAAAGAATAGCAGGAACGCCTAACAACACGCAACATTTAGTTACATGCCAGACTTGGCCAATTAGTTACACATTACAGCTATTACTTTTCGCTTCAGTATACTTTTAGGCCCACTGCTTTTCATTTAGAGAATTATTGCGACGAAAATTTAGCGTAGCGACCAGAAATCGAGGAAAATGATCATTAAAACTCTTTTTTTAATTTTTGTTATTACTTTTGAAAGTTGAGCGCATCCTGTGTTTATGGAACTTTTTATTAAACAAGTAATTTTTAAGCAAAAAACACAACCAACTTCAATTCTCATATATAAATTTAGGAATACCGTTAATTTTTTCATGATCCAATGATCGGATCTAAACGAAATTACGGGACGACCCATGAGGTACCATCTTTCCGAAAAAAAGGAATTGAAATCGGTTCACGCGGTACAAAGTTATGCGATAGCATACATAAAAAAAGAAAAATGTTTTGACGAATTAATAACCTCCCTCTTTTTTGGAGGTTGGGTTTAAAATGTTTCAGTTCCTTGTTAATTTCATGTAATAAAGTGCAATTTATTAAACTTTAAAATGTTTATTTTTTTATTACATACTGTACAAAAAGCTTGCACAAATGTATTTTAAAGAGCATATTATTGAAGCAAATTTCAGAAGTATAAACCCCTCCCAAAATATATTCCTGGGTGCGCCCCTGCTGCCATATATTTCAGATGGGAACGTGATTTTTTTCAGAATTGCCATAAAATCATTAAAAATAAATAGTTTTTGGTCGAAAGGAGATTTCCCATTAATAATCTTAAAAAAAACCATTATTTTGTGTTTTGAAAATCTCTGAAAAGAAATAAATTTATTATATCAAAAAATATGAACTTTTAACGAGTTTATAACAATTTTACGAAAAATATATATTTTCTCCATGTTAACTAAGTATATAGACAATTTCAAAGCTCGATTAAATATTAACCAATTTCAAAACAAAAATATGGGTCTCCTTATTCTCGATATTCAACAGTTCTGGGGGATGGCTGGGAAAAAACTTGTACCACCTTAATAATACAAGCATATGTATGTATGTACTTGCAAATTTAAAATGAATACACATACATACCTACATATAGGAGTATATATATATATACATATCATTTAATACACAAGGGATGGCAATGAAAAATTCAACGGCATTGCCGTCAATTCCCAACATTATTAAAGAGACAAAAGGATTTGTTTCTATATATGAATAAAATACTCATATATACAGACATGAGGAAATCTGAGGGAATTAAAAAAGGTTGTACAACATGCATGTGAATATGTGCATATATTAAATAATGAAAAAAGGGAAAATTACAAATTAAATTGAAGTTATTAAGTTTAATATGAAATTAAGTAGTCGCCTGAACCCGAAACCTGACCTCAAACAATTTGTTAAAGTAATTAAAATTTTTGAGCGAAATGAATAGTCTCGAGGGTGGTATTTCGCTTTTCATGCTCCTCGAAAATGAAAAATTAACAAAATAAATACGAGTATGTATGTGTATTAGGGTGGTCCTTAAAAAATTAAACGAACAATTTGTTTCAGTCTCACGCCCTCAATCGGTAATACCACGATAACAGATATAAATTTTGGTCCCGATTGGAGTCGGTTATGGCGTGTCACAAAGGGATAGACTCAAATAAAACTAAAGTCGAAGATATCACATGCAAATTTTGGTCCCAATTGCAGTCACGCCTTAACCGACTCCAATCGGGGCCAAAATTTATATGTGTTATCTTCGACTATAGTAGCATCGACGTAGGTGTTGAGGCTTGGAAAGCTGATGTAAAAATTTGCTTCCTGCATTTAAAAACCACCCTAATGTATATATATTCAGCAAGGGAGTGTAGCGATTTTCACATCCTACTTACTTACATACATACATACATACTTGTACATTATTTATAATTACTTTGAGCCTAAATACTAGATATTTTAGGAAAACTGCACCCAGTGCGAAATTAATTTTAGTGTTCTTTCTCACTTAACAAATGAGTAAAGGAAAGACCGACAAACGCAAAAAGATGCAAATATGGTCTAATATGCAATGGCATATATATATATGGTTTTACAAAAAAAGTAGGACAAGGGTAATGCTACTTGAAAAATAGATATCCCCCTAAGGGGGAAAAGGAAAATCGATGTAGTTTGGTATTACCTGCCATTCTGCATTAAAAACAAGGCACCTTTTCACCTTTAGGTAGCGTTATGCTGTTAAAATTTATACTGTCTTTAATCGACGTCAGGGTACTCGCGTTATAATCCAACGCAAAAGATCTTGAAGTTGTGGTGGAGAGCAAACTGAGCTGGAAAAGTAAAATCGTAGACGGGGGGCCTACAGAGCATTCTATGATCTAAAAACAAAAATCTATTCTATCAAATAATGGTCACTGAAATTAATAAGACACAAATTTATATAACAAAAAACGTGGCAGCCCTCATTGAAAATATGTCTTTATTAAAGTACACAAAAAAACCTTTCCTTTCATGTCCATATAAGGTATTTTTAGGCAAATTTTGCAGGATCGAAAATAAGTGGCAACCTTACACTAATATTCTAAAGTATAACACTTCCTATAAAGGTAAAGAATTGTTTAAGAGCTTTCTTTTAATACCCATGAATAGTAGTATTGTATCCTAATTATCCAAACAATAAATTAAATAAAGATGCAATAGAAAATAGGTGGCAATCCTATTCAAAAATATCTCTATATTGGGGATTTTTAAAATACTTCTCAACCCATAGTTTTATTTAGTTCGTAAATAATTTTATTTAGTTTGAAAATAGTTTCGAATAGGTGGCAACCTTAACGCAAACTCTCGCAGATAACACCTCTTTAGATAATTTTAAAATGCAAAACATTCAGATAATCATCTACACACATCTACTTAGTACTAAAATATTATCCACTAGCAACTATGATTTTTCAAATTTAAATACTCTTTGCATCTCATTACAGATTGCTTCTCTTACGAAATGGCCGATCAGTGTGATTCCGTCAATGGCACCTTCTACCTGAGAACGTGCTACAATATTAGTTACGCCGAAGAGCACAATATCACTGAATTGGCATTGCATGCGCTGAAGCGACCACCAGCTGAGGAGTATTTTACGTGAGTCTCAAAAAATATTAAAGTTGCAAAAGAAATGCGCAATTAATGATTTCCTCTCCATTTGATTTATATATATATATATATATATATATTATTTTAGAAACTACGTACTCGGTTTATCTTCAGGCATCGAAGAAACTGGCGGCATAAAACCCGAACTAGCCGCATGCCTCTTCGCCGCATGGGCTATAGTTTTTCTGTGTCTTTGCAAAGGCGTGCAATCATCCGGCAAAGTAGTCTACTTTACGGCGCTTTTCCCTTATGTAGTGTTAGTTATACTATTCTTTAGAGGCGTAACACTACCTGGCGCTAAAACTGGCATTTTATTTTATTTGACACCCGATTTCAAGCAGTTGGCTAATGCGCAGGTAGGTGGATTTCAGTCAAGGTACATTGAACAGGTAGTATCAGTAGAGCAGCTGATTTGATTTTTTTTNAATTCAGAACAGTTTTTGACACTTTCGATACCAGAAGCAACAACAAAATACACGCAAATGTTGTTTTTGCTCTACTGATACTACCTGTTTAATGTGCCTTGATTTCAGTGAAAGCAAAATAAAATTCCCACTAACTTTTTTCTCAAATTAAAACTTTTTCCTATTTTATTTTTATTGTATTTTTTTCGCACAGGTTTGGGGCGATGCTGCCGTGCAAATATTTTTTGCGCTCAGCCCCGCCTGGGGTGGCCTGATCACATTGTCTTCCTACAATAAATTCTCTAACAATTGTTATAAGTAAGTCAGTCACTTTATTGCCTACGTACTTGCATATAACACAAATATTCTTATTCATATTTCAGAGACTCTCTGATCGTGGCCATTTGCAATATAGCCACCTCATTTTTTGCCGGTTTGGTCATATTCTCGATCATCGGTTTTCTAGCGCACGAGTTAGAGGTGGAAGTGAAGAAAGTGGTCGATCAAGGTGCTGGATTGGCATTCATTGTTTATCCGGAAGTGGTGACACGCTTACCAGTCTCACCGGTTTGGTCGGTGCTATTTTTTGTTATGTTACTTACGCTGGGACTGGACTCACAGGTGATACTCGGCATAGTAGTGAATTTCGGCAGAATTTGTTGAAATTTTTTGTTTTTCTCATCTCTTCAGTTCGCTCTCATGGAAACAGTTACAACTGCCATATTGGATAAATTTCCCAATTTACGACAATACAAGACATGGGTTGTGCTTTTTGTTGGTATTTTTGGCTATCTCGGTGGTCTCGGTTTTACCACGAATGTGAGTGCAAGGCAATCCTCAAGCGTAATTTAATTTAATTCTTAATTGTTTTCTTGATCTGTTTTTGTAGAGCGGCATGTATTGGCTGCAACTAATGGACAAGTATGCTGCCAATTGGTCCGTACTACTTATTGCCATATCCGAGTGTGTTTTAATTGCTTGGATATATGGTTCACAACGTTTTCTCAACGACATTCAGGGTATGATAGGTAAAAGATCGAGATTCTGGAATGCCTTTTGGTCTGCAATGTGGCGTTATATAACACCGGCAACATTGTTGGTAAGTACCAGCAATGGGGAAAGTAAAATGAGTAAATCTGATGCTTAATTATAAGAGAAAAACTAAATTTTTAAAAGAAATATAGTTTTGTGAATGTGTGTATGTATATATAGTACATGCTATACATTAGACCGTACCAACTTACAAACAAAAAAAAAAAGTTCGCCGTAGACCCTTGAGTCTAATATTTTTTGCAGGGCAATTGTGAAACAAAAACAAATTTTTTTTGGGCGAACCCAGGGGTCACCTGTTTACAATTTTCTGTGAAACATATAGGCAATAGGGTGATAAAAAAAGGAGTTCTTGAAAAGGAATATTTTTTGATCGGAGACTCTGTTTCTCGTCAAGAGACTTCCAGTAGTAATACCAAATGGTTTATTAAGCCATTTTTAACCGACTTCCAAAAAAGGAGGAGGTTATCAGTTCGTCGGAATATTTTTTTTTCTTTTAATGTATGTTACCGCATTACTTTGGACCACGTTAACCAATTTCGATAATTCTTTTTTTTTCATCGGAAAGGTGGTACCTCAGGGGTGGTCTCATACTAATTTTGTATAGATCCGATAGTTGGATCGTGAAGAAATCAACGATAATCTTAAATTTTTATATGAGAATTGAAGTCGGTTTTGTTTTTTACTTAAAAATTACTTGTTTAGTATTAGCTATTTTTTTATTAATCACCTAAAAACTCCAAAAAAATGCAATAAAAATGGTAAAATAAATTGAAAGGGTCCTAAAGAGAAACGGAGTTTTCCGATCGACAAATATTGATTTCCAAGAATTCTATACCATTTCTACGAAAAAAAAATTCATATCAATACATGGAAAACTGGGCGCTCTAAACATTTTCTCTAGGCGTGAGAGCATTTAAATTCCACATTTTTGTACCACCCTAATGCACATTAGGCAATTTTTTTTTGTAATAAGTAATTCTACTTCAAAAATATTTTAATTCAAAATACTTCCTTAGCAAAAGTTTAATTATGTTTGACGAGCTTTAATTTACTGCCATTAGGGGATACGTTGGGATAGTGGGAACTGCAAGTTTTTATAAACATTTTTTTCCACAAAAAATCACCTGGCATAGAACAGTTTAAGCGATGTGCTTAAAAATGTTTGAACAAAGGAACGGAATCAAAATAATGAAATTTTTGGGGGTAATTTTTCTAATCGGTTCAGCTCAGGTAAATATTAATATTTTGCCGAAAATCTTAAAATATAATAAATTTAATCGTTTCGATGGGAAAACTGTACCGATTTTTTGTGTGAGGGGTGATGCGCTCTAATGTACATAGATACATATATGTATCTCCTTCAAAAATTATTTCTACTTATCATATATGGACACCTGAGTGGAAGATAGACCTATCTCGGCAGCACATTTTCAATATATTTTCAGTTGAGATAGGGCCTTTTTAAGGGCGAATTCTGAGATAGGGTGTTTTTCGATCAAATTCTGAAGTAGGAGTTTTGTGAGATAGGGTGTTTTCGAACTGGCTGCCAAGATAGGTCGAGCTTCCACTCAGGTGTCGCACTGTAAGTTCTTAAATTATTTTATTGGCATTCCTTTTCAGTTTATTCTCTTCTTCAACTGGGTCGAATACAAACCCGCCTCGTACGGCCACTATGTCTACCCATTGTGGGCCGATGCGGTTGGTTGGTTCATCGGCCTCTTGCCGGTACTTTTTATTTTCATCATCGCCTTCCAACAAATTTGCAAGGCGCCTAAACAGCTTTCCATGAAAGAGCGTTTAAAATTTCTACTGCGTCCTACTGCCGAATGGGGACCTGCGGGAAGACCATGCGTCAATTTGCATGCCGAGCGCTACGACAGCCAAAATTATGACGTTGTGGCCAATACGCAAGTACTAATTAATGGGCTGCCCGCCGATGTGTCACCCTATGAGGACAACAGCAATGGATATCGTGACGAGGCGATGCAACTCTGAGAGCGAGTGAGCGCATCGTCGACTACGGCAGCAGCAGCTAGAACATCCACTGCTGTTGTGCGCATGAGTGATCACGTCGACGATGGCTCGATGGGTCTACGAATGGGTGGTAATGGGGCAAGCAATGGCACTGGTGGAACTGGCGGCGGAGGAGGCGGTGGCGATAGAAGAGGCAGCGGCGCTGCTGTGACAATACGAAATGGAAGTGTAAGTTGGCAAAATAATTTAAAATCAATACATACATATGCGCTTAAACCACTTTAATTTGTAAACTTCTAGCATACTGTAACTGACTATGGCACCTCAGTGGCCATCAAAACAACCAGCTCCACTGGCGCTACCAAGCTACCTGGCCCTAGCATATTGAAGAGCTCGAAGAGCAACCAATCAGCCAGCAATGGCCGTAGCAAAGGACAGTATCAAACCGAGGCGAGTCCAAGCCGGCAGCCGTTAATAGAAGCGGAGCTGCGTGCCAACGACAGTGTCGGCTCGTACCTCAATGAGGCAGCCGCACTGGCACAGCGCAAAGCACTAGCGAATGGTCAGGGTGTTGAGGCGAGTGATAAAATGACAAAAGTAACTGCCAGTATTGTATTGCCAACTAAGACGGCAATGACCACAACCACAGCGGTGTCAACTGCGCCCACTGCTACCACCACAACGGCGGCAACAACACAAGTGTTAGTCGCCGGTACAATGAGCAGTGGCCGCGAGCGCATGCTCACCACGTTTGGTGAACGTGGTGTGGTACCAGGAGCGGAAGCAATCGCAACACCGGCATCCAAAGTGGCAACCTCTGCAACAGCAACTACTTCTGCAGCCAACGCAAAGTCAGTAACAGCAGCATCGGACTCTAAAGTGGCAGCCGTCGATAATAAGCCAGGGTTAGTGCGTGGCACAACACAGCCAACAATTACTTCAACAGCAATAACAAGCACAAAACAACCTTTGAGCATTGCATCAGCAATGCCGGCAACGAGTGCACCTGCAGTAACATCAACCATAGTTACCACACCGACGACAATGGCACCTACTGCTGCCACAGCAACGATTGCTAAGCCTAAGCTGGCGACAACATCAATGGCAGGTGCAACAACAGTCGCTTTATCTGTTAAAACACCAGTGGTTGCAGCGGCAACAACAACTGCGACGACTATAAACACAACACAACCAGCCACAGAAACGTCAGCAACAACAGCGAGGCCAAAAACAACAGTCACAACAAATACAACACCGACAGCGCAAATGCTTTCGGCAAAANCACAACGGCAACACAAACGAAAGCTGGCGGCCCAACAACGTCAACACCTACTACAACCAAGTCAATAACAAATACAACAACTACCATGACGAATAATGCTAGCAAGAAATAATTGTGCTGCGAAACCGATTATTTCTCTCACGCTTGCTCAGTTCGCAGTTGGACCGTAAAAGAAAGTAAAGTAATAAACAAAATAATGGATTAACGAAGTAAGTACTTAAGCGCATATTATTTATCATACAATTGTAGACTACGTACATATTTATTTTTATCAGTATCTACATTTCGGCATATATACATACATATGTATGTAACTACTTATAGTTATACTGAAAAATGGACGTTGAAAAGATTACATGTTTTGACTTGAAACTACTATAATGCAGTCATAAGTAACCAAAACTATAAACTTAATTCTACAAGTATCATACTTATAATAACTCTAATTTCTAAGGCATAATTTAAGGTGTTCAAAACGTGCAGTGCAACCTAACCCAACTAAATACTAAAAGCGTACACACTATACCTAAGAAGAAAAAAAAATAACAGACATATTTTATGAATTACATAAATAAGTATTGTAACTGTACATATGTAACTAGTAACGTACTAGTACCCAAACGTATATCTTCCTATTTGTTTTTTTTTTGTCGCCATAAGAAGGTTGAAAGCATTGTCAATTTGTAAAAAAAAAANGACTACGTACATATTTATTTTTATCAGTATCTACATTTCGGCATATATACATACATATGTATGTAACTACTTATAGTTATACTGAAAAATGGACGTTGAAAAGATTACATGTTTTGACTTGAAACTACTATAATGCAGTCATAAGTAACCAAAACTATAAACTTAATTCTACAAGTATCATACTTATAATAACTCTAATTTCTAAGGCATAATTTAAGGTGTTCAAAACGTGCAGTGCAACCTAACCCAACTAAATACTAAAAGCGTACACACTATACCTAAGAAGAAAAAAAAATAACAGACATATTTTATGAATTACATAAATAAGTATTGTAACTGTACATATGTACCTAGTAACGTACTAGTACCCAAACGTATATCTTCCTATTTGTTTTTTTTTTGTCGCCATAAGAAGGTTGAAAGCATTGTCAATTTGTAAAAAAAAAATGCTAAGTGTACGTGTACGGGGTTTCCCCGGAAAGCTTGAGCTGGGAAATTATTAATCTTTCATCAATGCATGTACCTATATACAATACAATTGTCGATACCAAGTAATTTTGGTATCGATACTTTTGAACCAAGTACTGAATAGTTATCGAAAAACAAATACTCGTATCGAAATCCGATACGAAGGCAAATTTGGCTTCGGTAATTTTTCCTTCACTTTTATTTCTAAGCGCCTTGGTCTTCGTGGATGCTTAATTGCCAGCGAAAACCGCGAGGAGGCGACAACGTCCATACATTTAATACAAGGCGCAACTGTTCGAGTGGAAGAGTAAATTGGATGACCCCGTTCATATGATAATAACACCTACACGAATTTACTTGCGTTTAACTCGCGTTAGCAGCTTGAGAAAAGGGCAACAAAATAGGCGTAGTTGTAAAGGCACGATTAGCTCCCGTCATGTAAACAGGGTCTTATTTTTCGCACTGAAAAGACTAGCGGAAAATACTATTGAAGAAAAGAAACAAAAAAAGAAAAAGAGTCCCACACAGAGTTGATTACAAAAAACAAAATTAATAATAGGGAGCACGTTGCTAAGTCGGGATTTACTCAAGCGTCGAAGAGACCTATTGGGTTTTTAAATATGTGATAGAAAAAACGGTTATATGATGTATACCCTGTGATGGCTGAGGAATGTATGTTAGTCCGCCAGTTTGTATGGAGGGTGTTGCCGTACGGAAGGGTTAAATATGAAAAGAAAGAAGCTGCTTGAAAATGCAAAAAAACATCGCCTTATTGGCAAATTAATTCAATGTTTCCGCCCACAAGAGTAGAAGGCGTGGCAGTAATTCCATCTTTACAAAATTTTAAAATTCCCTATTTCTAAGTAAAACTAGAGCACATGTCAAGTTTCAGTGAAANATGTTGCCGTACGGAAGGGTTAAAAATGAAAAGAAAGAAGCTGCTTCAAAATGCAAAAAAACATCGCCTTATTGGCAAATTAATTCAATGTTTCCTCCCACAAGAGTAGTAGAGGCGTGCCAATTATTCCATCTTTACAAAATTTCATAATTCTCTATTTCTAAGTAAAACTAGAGCACATGTCAAGTTTCAGTGAAATTGGTGCAGCTTTATTATTGTTTCCATCTGCCTTCATGTAGTCGAAACACTGTGCCGCGCGAGGACTTAGATATGGTGGAAGTATTCAACAGAATGCAAGGTATCCCCCATATTTTAATCTNCTTCCATCTGCCTTCATATAGTCGAAACACTGTGCCGCGCGAGGACTTAGATATGGTGGAAGTATTCAACAGAATGCAAGGTATCCCCCATATTTTAATCTGGCGCGCTTGAGTAAACTCCCGAATCCCCTCTTGATCTTCGCTTCTACAAGTATCAGGTTTTCCTTTGTCAATTTCAACTTAAAAGTTATGTATTTAAACCTATTCCGTTATTTGTATGATAATTCCATTATTTGCATAAACATCCGCAGCCTAGATATGATAATTATTTTAAATTTATAAAAAAATCTTTATGTTTTTCGATCTTAAGGTCAAGTTAATTAAAACTATCATAATGAGATTTCCAAATCTTTGCTGTCTAATTTAGCTTTTATTTCTTGTCTGTTGGACAAAACCATAGTCGAAAATTATTTAATTGTGCTCAAATGTTGACTTGAATTACTAGCAAGGTTCGACTATTAGCGTAAGGTTTTGAAAGGTGTTGTTGTATCTGCGCTATTATAGTTATTTAGCATAGTGTGATAGAGATCGGTGTTTTTATGTGATCGTATTGTATGTTAAAAACATTTTTAAGAGAAAGCCTCCATATGTATAGGTGTTAACTATTGAAACTAAAAGAATCGGTGCTATTGAGTATTTGAATCCTATAAAATAAAAATGATGTGTAGATATATCCCAGCTGGAAATGTCTTACCCACGAAATTTCGTACAAGTGGTTATAGCATAGCTTTAGGCGCAGTGTGGTATAAAAGGNTGTTGTTGTATCTGCGCCATTATAGTTATTTAGCATAGTGTGATAGAGATCGGTGTTTTTATGTGATCGTATTGTATGTTAAAAACATTTTTAAGAGAAAGTCTCCATATGTATAGGTGTTAACTATTGAAACTAAAAGAATCGGTGCTATTGAGTATTTGAATCCTATAAAATAAAAATGATGTGTAGATATATCCCAGCTGGAAATGTCTTACCCACGAAATTTCGTACAAGTGGTTATAGCATAGCTTTAGGCGCAGTGTGGTATAAAAGGTGGATTCGAAGGTGAAACACACAGCCCTATTCCCACGTCAATGACAAAGCTCAACGCATGATGACTATCTTAACTACTGCGCCTAAAATTATGCTTTTAGTGTTTTAATTAGTGCGAATATCATTGATATTGTTATGAACTATGAACGCCCGTTTTCTCAAGTAACCTGTAACTTTAAAGCTCACTTTATATTTATAAGGTTGCATTAAAATTTATGATTGTATCTAAAGTAAAGCATTTTATTATCGGTTTTAAATTGGTTTACAACCAAGAAGCAAGCATACGTCAAAAACCGATAATAGAAATGCTTAACTTTAGGCATAGCTTTATTTTTAATCCTACGTTTAAATATAAAGTGAGCTTTAAAGTTAAAGGTTATTTCTGGAAACGTCCCTAAATACGTGACAACGACGAAACATATTAAAACTATACGTAGTACTAATTGCACTCGAAAATATTACTCGCTTGAGTACATACATATATACATATATGTACGTGAAGTGGAAGACAGCTTCCAGCTGGGATCTTAATGTTTGTGTATTTAGTACATAGGCATAAGACTGTTGTTATTGTTGTGGAAATTCATTGAAGTCAGTGTTGGTGCATAGTGTTATTTGATTGATTTTTATTATACTGAATTGTATATTGTATCGAATCGTAGTCCTGAAATAGTGCAAATTAGTGAGAAATATTAGGCAACGTATAGTACAAGTGAAGGCAACAAAATAGCATTGATTATGATGATTGTGATGAAGATTTGTGGTAACTAATGCGGATAGATAGTGGGTAAATTAGAGAGTATGTAATAGTTTATTTACTTAACCAGCAATTATAGTTGTTAACTGCGTACATATGTACGTAAACATTTATCATACTTTTTTTACAATGTCACTTAATAAGAAAAACTAATTGCCAGTTTCACGAAAGCAATTTAAGTGAAAAATATTTTTTTTTTTTTTTGAATTTTATATGGATATGGCAGAAAAAAATAATTCACTTAAATTGATTTCGTGAAACCGGCAGTAAGACTTCAAAGGAAGTGAAATGGATTCTGAAATTTTCCAAACTATAACTTTCGTGTTGCGCGCGTAGAAAGCGTGAGCTCGAAAAAAGCTATGGCATTCTAAACGGTTATGTTCTTTATTCCGAACAAATTTAATCTTCATTTTATGATTTTTATTTTTTCGATCAAGAATAGTCGTTTTCGGACATTTATTTTTTAGATAAATTTTTTATTGTTATTTTTGGTTTTTAATTTTTTGGACCATAGCTATTATAACTGTTATTTTCAGATTTAATTTTTTAGATCACACACGATTTAAATCGGTCATGAAAATGCGTACTCCATTATAACGGCTAAAAATGATCAGAAAAAAATATAAAAATCCAAAATAACAATTATTTTTTATTGAAAAAAAATCTAAAAACAAAATTTTAATTTTACCGTAAAAATATCAATTATAAAATACAGATTTTGCAATGAGCTCAAATTAAAAATCAAGATATTTAACCGTTTATTTCAGTCCCTTATTTTAATGTGTTCAAATCGCCCAAAATTGCGCTTGCCACCCAAATTCATATTTTCTATTTAAACT